ATTAAATCAAACGGTAATAGGGGTGGTCTTGTGGTATAGATACAAGCCCAGGAAGGGCTCATTGAAAAACAACTACTCTTGCCCTGACCAGTGTGGCTTAGTTGGTTGAGCACCAACCTGGAGAGCAGAGGGTAATTCCTATACCAGAGTTGCAGTCACGGTCCCCATTTGGGGCACATGTGAGAGGCAAACTATTGATGTTTCTCTCACACATCAATGTTTCTCTCCCTCTCTTTCTGTCCCTTTTCCCTCTCCTTAAAAATGAATCAAATCTTTTTTAAAAAACTCACTTCTTTTGAAGTTGTTGACTACTTTAAATGATACACAATTCACACCTCTACAGATAGAAAATAAATGTGTTATTAACAGTATGACTTATGGACAAAAATTTCCAGAAAAAATACAAAAAAAATGTATTTCTTAAAAGGCCAAATTCATTTTGTATACCAATGTTCCTAAAATAAATCCAGCCTTATATAGGAATAATGGGATGTCTTATTATCCATTCAATACATTTTAACATGAGCACTCTACATTATTGTCTTTATTTATTATTTATACAGTGCAAATAAAAACATGGCAGCATTCAATGCAAACACGACAGGCACAGCCTCTGCCTCTGAAGAGGGAGAATCAAAGACAAATGTGAAGAGGACCAGCCCTCAAACCCCAAACCAGTGGCCCAGCCCCTCTTGCTGCACGAAAGCGGGTAGGACTAGGATAAAGCAGACTTTCCCTGCCAAGGTCTGACGTTTGATGTCAGTGATCTGATCACCACATGCCTGGTCCTATTATCCATCAACTCCAGGCAAGGTTAGGCTCAAAACATAGGAAACAAGGGCCCACAATCCAAGGTTAAGAAGGAAGAAAAACATTGATATATGGACTGTCCTGATAAATAGTAAGTCCTTTTCACTAAAAGTAGAAAACAGTTAATAAATTAATAATCAAAGGAAAACATAATTTCTGCACATCTGGAGATGAAACTAAACTAAATCTCTCCAATCCAATAATGGCACAGTTTTATGAAGCTCTTTATTCCCAGGATCTGGCTTCTGACACTGCAAAAGCACATCATCAGCACTCAAGAAACACTCAGTTTTATTTTCACAAACTCTCTTTATCCGTTTAAAAATGTGGTTCTTGTTTTGGCTATTTCAGAGAAGAAATAATCACCCAGGGAGCTGAATTAATGAGTTAAGATCGTGCAGATCCTCCAGTGGAGGTGAGTCCTGAGAGAGGGAAGTGGCGGTGGTGCGCCTGGACTGCGCTGTACTCGGCGTGGCGCTGGGCACCGGGCGGGTGCTCAGGAGGTACCAGGGATGGAGAGCCGCACCTTCTCCCTGTGCTAGCAGATACAAGAATTTACATTACATTCGGGCTTCTCCTATACACTGTACTCCCATGTAAAATAATCTCCTCCTCATTCTGGTGAAAGAGGATCAGAGGCAGAAAAGGCAGAGATCAAACTTTCCTCAGAAGAAAACGGAGATCAGCCAGTGCTTCCTGAGAAAACAGAAACAGACCAGATACGTGGGAGGGCAGTGGAACTGTTTCACTAATCCACTCTGAGTTTTACAGCACAGCCGCCAGCTCCGTAGTCTGAAACTCTGTGTTGAGGCTCACAGGAGAAATTTAACAGGGTCCTATTGAATGCAGTCCTAAGTGTCTCGGCCCCAAAAGCAAAACAAAACTGGTGGAGATCGGCCAGGTCATGAATGCCCCCCACACCCCCTTCACCTGATCTGCCACTGTTACCCGCCCCCCAGTCCTGAGCCCCACTACCCCTTGAGTCTTCCACCTGGAACCCGAGAACGTGCAAGCCTTGAAGGGAGAACGCCAAACTGGTGAGCTGAATTGAACTAAATTGTATACAGAGGGTTTTTTTGAGGGGACTTCAATGTCCTTATACACTAAAATGTGTGTATGATGTAGCCTCTACATCACCTGTAAATAGAAAAATGAACTTAGTTAACAGGCCACATCGTTTCAGGCAATGGAAAGGAAGAAAAAATTGTGTACAGGAGATGGAGAAGCCCTGTGTGAGGGAAGAGACTTGAGATAGAGTTTGAAAAGGTCAGAGGGGAAAAAAAGAGCAGATATGAGGCATAATCTGGAGGCCGGTCACAGGTCTGCAGGCCCCCAGAACCGTTATTACAGCCTGCAGCATATTTTATCAGGGAATGACGAAGGGACAGTGGGCAAAAGTAAATCGTTTTGGTCCAGGAGGATAACTTGGAGGTTCTTATGACATGTCTTCAGAGATAGACTGTATGTAGTCTAGTAAATGCAATTGAGACCTTTCACTAAAACAAAGGGAATGTCCCAGACTGTATTATCACTATGCTGTGGAAGAGCCACATGTATAAATGTGTGTGTGTGTTTACCGGGCTCTTCCGTAAGTTTCCAGTTGCACATATTAATCAAAAAGCACTACCCTCCACCCACTTTTCTATTACCTGTCCAACTTTGCGCCAGTTTCCCTTCTCCTCCCACCACCCTTTGCCTCCCTGTTCTTCTGTGAGACATGGGATGGGGATTTGTCAAAGTCAATGAGCACTTTATTACAGTGAGAACGCTCTGTAATGAACAATTCAGCAATTTAATGAGATTCTGTAGATCTTTCTCCAGCCTGTCCATCAAGTTTCACTTCTATAAAGCACCCTGACACTAATCCTCTGGCATACCCAATCTTCACCCTGGGCTGAATATTAGATTCTTCCATGGTATATTGCATTACTAGTATAACCTCGGCAAAAATGATGAACTTAACTACACTTGAGGCAATATAGCTGGTCTGATTTGATTTCTCTCTATTGGGTCGAGTATGAGGGAATTACTTATTTACTAAGATAAAGCAAAAACAGTTTTTTATTGCCTGCTGAATGCCTAAATTGATCATGATTTAAGTGAGCCTTTTAATTCTTCCTTGAGGACCAGGTTTGAAAAAATGTTGCCTGCAGCAGAAAGCGCTTTTCTAAAATTCTAGGTTAGAACATTAGTAACCTTCAGAGAGGCGATGATGAGAACGCCTAAGTGAACAGCATGGCATTCTGGGCACTCAGACTTGCGCACGTCACTGTGTCCATCTCTGGCAGCACCTTCAACCAGGCCACAGAATGAAATAGAAACCACAGGATGAGTGGCTCCAATCTCAACTCAGTTAGAAATAGTTAAATGCAGAATTCCTTCCAAGTTTCTCTTTTTCCCTTTGGGAAATGAAAAAAAAATAGGCAATTTCCCACTTTGAACCGACTGGAAATTTCTGATGATTTGTGTTTACAGGGAGAACAACAGGTAATTAAAATTCATACCAAAAACTCATCCTCACCAATACATTTGACCTCTGCCTGAATAAGCATTATGAGAAAGACCTAAGAAGCAGAAAAAATCCATAGCTTGTTTTTGTCTCCCGATAGCTTCTGTGTCAAAGCAGTGTGGAACACTAGGGAAGTGAGAGCAGGTGTCGCTGACTCGCATCTGCTCTGTAACCCTGAGCAGGGCCCTGAAGCCTCATCTTACTCATCTGGTACAAGGGGTGGGAACAGCTGTCCTTCAGGCCTGTTGTGCTGGTAAGTCAATAAGTTTGCAAAGAGCCCGGGTCTGCAAGGCCCTCAGTGCACCACTGCTCTTATTACCCTCACTAGTGGAAGCAACGATGAAGGAAGAAGAAGGATAAAAGTAATACAAAGGAAGACATGAGAAAAAGTGTTAATCCAGAGTCAGATACTGGACAATTAACAGCTACCTCAGACCCTGTTTTGGCCAGCACTGGAGTACTCTCTGAGTGTTACTTGAAAAGATAAAAGGAATTCACTGCCTCATCGGCTAATAGGAGACTTCATTTTTCTGCATATTCTGTATACAAATGTTTTTCAAATGATCATAAAATTTTGAAGGTATGCTGCCTGAGAAGTAACGAGGCAGCCAGCCAGTGTTGCAGAGCGTGGAGACAGACAGTGTAAGACTCCATGTGGATTGCTCGAAGACAGTCACTGGGGATGAGCCGAGAAGGATTTAAATTGAATAATCAACTTGAAAACACAAAACATCCTCCTGTTCTCCAGACAAAGGATATTCAAGAAGATTACTATGTCAGAAGAAGAGGCCAGGCTTAGGAAAATAGCAATGAATGCAGAATGAACTAAGGAGGGAGATTTTTCCACTGCAGTGCAAGAAAAGCTTGGTTTCATTTAAGGTTTCAATGGCTTTCAGCTGCAACAAAGAACTATTTCCGAGTTATTCCAGCAGGGATGTCCGATCCACGGCCCACGGGCCGCACGCAGTGCAGGATGGCTGTGAATGCGGCCCAACGCAAATTGTAAATTTACTTAAAATCTTTTTTTGTTTGTTTTTTGTTTTTTAAAAGATTTTATTTATTTATCTTTAGAGGGGAAGAGAAGGAGAGAAATATCAATGTATGGTTGCCTCTTGTGAGTCCCCTGCTGGGAACCAGCCTGCAACCCAGGCACATGCCCTGACTCAGGGCAAATCCAATCAAACCTCGATTGTGTGGTTCACAGGCCCGCACTCAATCCACTGAGCTACACCAGGGCTTAAAATCTTTTTTGTGATCATCAGTTTTCATTAGTGTTTGTGTGTTGAATGTGTGGCCCAAAGACACCAAAAGGTTGGACACCCCTGGTACAGGAAAGGCCAGAACTTATTCTGATTCCATTAGTCTTAAATCTGCATAAGTAACATTTGACAATCCATCTTCCCATATTCAGTTTAAATAACCATTTTTCTCGGGAGAATAGAAACCTTTGACTAAGGGTTTTGGGAAGTCACGGGAGGGTGTGAGAATCTGCCCTGCGAGGCCCCCAGGCTTCAGGGGCTGGTCTCTCCAAGTGCCTGCCCACTGGGCAGCATGACTTCAAAGGCTTTGAGTCCAACAAGGGCCAAACCAAACAAGAGTTCCCATTGTCCCTCAATTCCTCAACTTTTAAGCATTCCATGCCCTCTCCACGCCCAAAGACACCCACTCAGAGTGCCCTTACCTGCCAGATCTGCTCTTCACTCAGGGAGGTCAGGCGGTCGCTCTTCAGGACCTCCTGAAGCAGACAATAGGGAAGCGTCAGAACATCTTCCGGCCGACTCTTCAGGAGTTCGGAGAGATGCTTCACTAAGAAATCGATCACTGCCTTCTCCAACAAAGTGAGGTTAAAGAGGTCAGCAAGTCTGTACAGATCCAAGTAATTAAAGCTATTTAATTCCTGGATGCCAAAAAAATAAAAATGGGGGGAAAAATACAAAGATCTCTTAGAAATCCATCCAAGAAAGAGCAGGCAAGAAATTCAGGCTGACCCACTAAGGTTTGCATAACGGGAGTGGGATCAATGGGGCAGCACTCCATTGGGAACACAGAAAACAACAAAACCACAACAAAAAGCCCAAACAAAAAACCCTCAAATATAAGGCCCTGGGCTGACAACTGCTTCTCTACAATTTGTCATTTCTCCCCACTTTGCCCCTCTTAAAATCTATATATTTAAAGACATCTTAGCAAAAGGACTGAAAGGGATTTCTGGTTTAATTGACTGAAATGATACTTTGCAACTTTTAGAAACATTTATTAATGAAGACAATTTTTCTGCCCTTAGCATATTCCATAGCATGTAGGTTGTAAGTTTTTCCACCAAAAATAATGTAAAATGGAAGTCATGTGTAGATGGAACAAACTATATGAAGATTGACTAACTCTATTCTTTTCCCAAAACTTCAAATTCAGCACATCTTTGAGTAAAGATTGGCTTAATGAAAACACAAATTTTTACACGTAAGGGCACAGGAAATGAGGAACTCTCACGGAAAAGATTCCTGTCCTAAATAATTGGAGACTGAATCCTCCTAAGATGGATGACTTACAACCGTTCTGTTTTTTATTAGCCTTGGAAAACCAGTGGTCACCTTCCCCTCCTTTTCAAAGAGTTTCTGTAGCAAGGCTTCCTTCTGAGCTTTACAAGCGCTCAGACTCACAACCAGAGCTCTAAGAGCCCCTGGGAGCCCCTGAGAGCCGGGACTCCTCTGGAAGCTTTGTCTTACAAGTGGGAGAATCGGAGTGGGCACCCAGGGGTGCTGACAGAACACTTACCCCTTTACAATTAGAATGAGAGATGGCTGTGTCCGAGTTTGCCCTAGTTTTTAACTTGTAATTATTCATATGTGAGCAATATTTTCCAATAACTTAGGAAATTCAGAATACAATACAATACATCTGATAGCTAGCTATTTTGTTCCACTGACCTATTTAAGTAATTTTTAACATATTTTCCCCTTTTCTAGTTATCTCAAAGTATTAAGAACTCTTTTTAAAATATTCATATTCTATTTTAATATATTTGTTTCTATAGTTTTTGACCCTTAAAATTATATTTTATTGATTATGCAATATAATTGTCCCAATTTTTCTCCCTTTGCCCCCCTCTACTCAGCACCCCCACTCCCTCAGGCAATCCCCACACCACTGTTCACATCCATGGATCATGAGCAGATTCTTTGTCTACTGCCTTTCCTATACTGTACTTCACATCCCCATGGCTATTCCGTAACTACCTGTTTGTACTTCCTAGTCCTTCACCTCTTCATTCATTCCCCCAAACCCCCCTTTCATCTGGAAACCATCAAATGCTCTCCATATCCATGACTCTGTCTCTGTTCTTCCCATTTGCTTAGTTGTTTTTTTTTAAGATTTTTAATTTATTTATCTTTTAGAGGGAAAGGGAAGGAGAGAGGGAGAGAAACATCAATGTATGGTTGCTTTTCATGCGTCCCCTGCTGGGAATTGGACTGCAGGGAACTGGCCTGCAACCCAGGAATGTGCCCTGACTGGGAATCGAACTGCGATTGTCTGGTTCGCAGGCCCGTGCTCAATCCACTGAGCTACACCAGCCAGGGCTGCTTAGTTTGTTTTTTAAATTCAGTTGTTGATAGATAGGTACTGATTGGTAGGTAATGCCATTTTATTGTTCATAGTTTTTTATCTCCTTTTTCTTAAACAAGTCTCTTTAGTATTTCACATAACAATGGTTTGGTGATGATAAACTCCTTTAGTTTTTTTCTTGTCTGGGAAGCTCTTTCTCTGCCTTTGATTCTAAATGATATATGTTAGGTGGAGCAATCTTGGCTATACATCCCAACTTTTCATGACTTTAGATATTTCTTGCCAGTCCCTTCTAGCCTGCAAAGTTTCTTTTGAGAAATCAGCTGACATTCTTATGGGAACTCCCATGTAGGTAACCAACTGCTTATCTCTTGCTGCTTTTAAGGTTTTCTCTTTATCTTTCATCTCTGCATTTTAATTATGATTTGTTTTGGAGTGGGCCTCTTTGAATCCATCTTCTTTGAGACTCTCTGTGCTTCCTAGACTTGTACGTCTATTTCCTTCAACAAATTAAGGAAGTTTTCTTTCGTTATTTTTTCAAATAAATTTCCAATTTCTTGCTCTTTCTCTTCTCTTTCTGGTGCCCCTATGACACAAATATTGAAATGCTTGAAGTTGTCCCAGAGGGACTTATACTATCCTCATTTCTTTAGATTCTTTTTTCTTCTTCTTGTTCTAATTGCTTGATTTTTGCTTCCTTATGTTCCAAATCATTGATTCGATTTTCAGTTTCATCCACTCTACTGTTGTTTCCCTGTGTATTGTTCTTGATTTCAATTAGCGTATCCTTCATTTCTGACTGGATCTTTTTCATGCTGTTGAGGTTCTCACTAAGTTCCTTGAGCATCCTTTTAATGAATGTTTTGAACTTTACATCTGATAGATTGATTATCTCCATTTTGTTTAGCTCTTTTTTTTGAGTTTTAATCTGTTCTTTCATTTGGGCCATGTTTCTTTCTCCACATTTTGGCAGCCTCTCTGTGTTTGTTTCTGTGTATTAGGTAGAGCTGCTATGACTCCACGTCTTGGTATGTGGCCTAATATAGTAAGTGTTCTCTAGCGTACAGTGTCACAGCCTCCCTTATCACTCAAGCTGGGTACTCAAGGCATGCCCTTCATGTAGACTGAGTACACCCTCCTCTTGTAGTTGAGCCTTGGTTGCTGTTGGCAGGTCAATGGGAAGGATTTACCCAGGCCTGTCAGTTGCAAGAACTGGCTGTGGCTACTGACCAACAACCTCTACCCTCTGTGGAAGATCAGCTGCTCAGGGCCTGGAGTTTCCTGGGTGGTGTAGGCCAAGGCCACCTGTGTTTTCCCTGGGGCCACCCTGCCTGAGCTGTAGAGCAATCTGAAATGGCTGATTCTTGCACTGAGCTTGAAGATTCTTAAAAGATGCTAAGCTGTGAATGTAGGCTGGCTACTGTTAGTGCCATGCCTGGGGCCACTTAGCAAGAGGTATGAGGACTGGGACTCACTGATGCCAGCTGCTGCTTGTTTGAAAGAATTTAGGAAGTTGTGAAGCATGAGCCAAGACCAGTTGTGAATGGCATGAGCCATTCCTGTGGAAAAGCTACTGTTAACAGCTGTACATTGGGTAGGATGGAGCCTCAGAGGATCTCCAGGGCAGGGCAAACAGTGTTGGCCAGGTTGATGGAATCTCAGATATGGCACCCACCTTCTGGCTGTGGCTCTGCCCACCTTTCTATCTGGGAGAATGCTGTCCCCCAGCTCGCACTTTGATCCCAGATACTTCAGTTCCTCCCTGTATGCCACTAGTGCCTTTCAAGTTGCTACCCCAGTGCTGGAGCTCAGACGGAGTGAGCCTGAGTAAGTTTGTGTGTGGGATCTTTAAGAGGAGCTGCTTGGGACTCCAAAAGTTTCTTCCACTAACTTAATCTCTGCTGGTTTCTGCAGCCAGAAGTCATGGGGACTTAACTTTCTGGCACTGGAAACCTGGGCTGGGCAGGGCTTGGCATGGGGCCTGACTCCTCACTCCTGAGATATCCTTCCTGCATTTTTACCTACCACACGTGGATGTGGGACCAGCCTGTTCCATGTTTCTACCCCTCCTACAAGTCTGGATGCATGTGGTTTCTTTAATTTCATAATTGTCAGACTTCCATTCAACTCAATTTATGCTGCTTCTGAGTGATGGTTGTTGTATAAGTTAGTTGCAATTTTGATGTGGTTGTGCAAGAAGGTGAGCTGTGTTTACCTGTGCTACTGTCTGGACCAGAAGTCTCTCTATAATTTTTGAAAGGTTAAAAGAATATGCCCTAAAGCTGTGCTGTTGTCCAACATGTTAGTCACTAGCCACAATACTGAGCACTTCAAATATGGTAGGTCTTATTTGAGATGTGCTATGTTAAATATAAACCCAATGCAAGAAGCAAGACAAATAGAATACAAAATATCTCATTAATAAATTTTACATTGATTATATGTTCAAGTAACATTATTCTGGATATAGTGAGTTAAATATATTATCATAATTAATTTCACCTGTTTCTTTTTACTTTTTTAATGCAGCTACTAGATAATTTAAAATTATGTATGTGGCTCCCATCATGTTTCAATTAGACAATAGTGCAATAAGTAATAAAGAATATAATAAAGCTATTGTAAAAACAGCTCTCCAAGTACCAGGTGCAGCACCACCACAGCTACCTGATTAGTTTTTTTTTGTTTTTTTTCCTTTAGGTTCTGTGTCTTTTGGTGGGAGATGACACTTTAATTACATTCCTAATAGGAGTCAAGCTAGATGTCAGGAATCAGCCATAAGATTCTAGTGCTTAATAGCTCTATTTGCCAACACAATTGAAAGAAAATAAATGCTCCTCTAAAATAAAGGTTACTACAGATGACTACTAAAATCCAGTGCAAGTCAAATATCTAAGAGTCTGCTCAGAGCTATTCCATCAAAATATCCTGGTTTCTTGTGGACAGATTATATCAAAGAAATACTGAAGATTGTGATGCCAGCACAATTTTTTCCAATTAATAATAAAATCTTACTTTTTAGGATCAGTAAATGCTACTCTGGGAGGCAAGTAGGTGTAAACCTTGTATATAGAGCTTCCATCACAAACTTTAGGACCATCTCCTCTGGATGAGGACATTATGGTTAGTGCGTCTATGAAACAAATTTAACTGCTTCAGGGCCCGGGATATGATTTCATATCACAGCATCCCAGTAAATTACTCTTCAGTCTGTCTGAGGTGTGATGGGTGTGTGTGTGGGTGGGTTCACTGTTGGTGCCTTACAGGTACCCAGACACATGCCCAAGACATGGCTTTGGCTCAAGGTCTTGAGGCAGCACTTGGCAGCACCAC